CTGGCAATCTTATTTTGCTTCGTCTCTGGACCCTCAAAGTAGTCCCTCGTGGCAATACATAGTTTATCGAAGTCTACTCAAGTGCAATTAGACGTGACTGAATAATAACAGATGAGGGCTGGGCCACTAAGCATGGTCGAGTACGCTTTTCCATAGAGGGGCTTCGGTATATCAGTCTTATTGCAAAATTCAAAGAATATATTAAGCTTAAAGTCAAAGCTATTATTGTCACCGTGATATTTAAGATCCGGATCATACATCTTAGAGAAGGCTGATAATTCCCTACTATAGCCAATTGTGGGATATTGAGGTTTAAACTTCACTTTGCCTTTCTGGTCTTTTGTTGTGTCTCTTGTGGGAATGATTGGGTGAGCGGATCTCGGGACAGTGTGATGGATCGTGAAGATTCAAATTTGTTATCATACTTCTGATCTTTTGAAGGAAAATACCCTATTGTTGTTTGAGCTGATTGAATTTGAGACGGCTTCAGGAGGTATATTATCTTGACAGAGTCAAATGATTTGTTAGACTGAAGGACTTCTTCTTTGGTTCATTTTGTGGGAACTTTCTCTGTCAATGTGTAGAAAAGAGACGAGCTCAAGCTTGTATCTCTCTCCCATCTAACCCACACACCATGAGTTTGTAGATATGATCTCAAAGATCGAAGAATGGGCTGCAAGGCAAGTTTGAAATTTTCTTCTTTAAGATGACGGAATTCTTCCTAGTAAGCTTCCCAGATGTTATCATCTTTAAACTTATACGTGCTTAACTCGTCAATCTTTTCCTTGATAAAATTGTTGATGGCCTTCTGCTGCTTATTTTGGGCACAAGTTTTGGCTTTGTGGTCTGACATTTTGGAAATGCGCTAGCAGGAGTGGTGTATGGAATGCGTGATGGACGCATAATCAAGTACCTTTCTCAGGGGTCGATTCCTTGAATGTAATACAGAGTTGAGGGCCTTTCTCAGGGGTCAAATTTGGACTATATCTGTTAGCAAACACAAAGTGAACAAAAGCCTTTCTCAGGTATTGAGCAAATTGTATCTCTCTTTACAGGAGTTCTGATCTGAACGCAAACTAATTAGTGTTGGAATACTCCTACGGAGTAATTTAATCACAAGCTTGTTGCAAAGATACGGATGGCTCTTAGTTGATTTCTTATTCTCTCTCCCAAAGAGGAGACTATGTACATATTCATTTATTATTTCCTGTTACGCCATACTATGACTTCACTTAGGTGATGATAAACTATATATAAAATAACTTGATTCTCTATTCTATCCAACAAAAGCTAGTAATACATATTTGAGTCTTAGTAATCGAATCCATGCTGATTAAATAAGCAGTTGCGCCGGTACTCCGAACTCTATTAATTACATTAATATCAAGAACAATAAATTGATTAATTATAACTACATTGGGAAAACTTGAAATAAGATATGGCGTCTTCTAGTTAGTTAATTTTTGTGATTAACTCCACTTTCCATCCATTAATTTGCTGAGATATCAACTCTGTTTTCATTGATAAGTTTTCTTAAAGCGTCACAAGGCTTATCTTTGGTCATGGAATCTGCAGGGTTTTTCGAACCTGAAATCCACCGTATTTCAGTAACCTCTTGGTGTTCATACAATTTTCAGAGAGCCATAATATCAACCATAAGACGCTTTTCAGTTGTTGTGCCAAGTTTTGATAGACATTCATATAGTGATCGAGAATCAGTGCACAAAATAAGTGGGATACATATAGAAGATCCCGGAAATTTCAATGAGTTATAGACTTTTTCTAGATTGCTTTTTAGAACTGTGGCCATGTCAAATTCTATTACCATTGCATAGAGTTCCGAAGATAATACGCTTCGGCTAACTCTTTTACATTTAGTTGATGACCAATGTACAATATTTGCTCTGTTATTTTTGTCTGCAAGACAGATAACATACCCTATTTGGGATGACATGTCTTCCTTACAGTTTGCAAATGAGCCGTCTGTAAATACCAAAATGTGTAGGGAACAATGATCTAGTGCGACAAACTTTAGACCTCTATTTAGGTTTTTCTTCTGCCAATTAAGAGGTTTGTTTAGCAGGGCCGCCTCATTTATACCCGGATTAGAAGTTTGTGCTGAACGAGAAAGGTCGAAGCAAGCCTCAGTCTGACAAACTGTAGCTATATACCCTCCAAGGGCTCGCTGCAATATATATTGGGTCTTAATATTGTCATTGTGGTTAATAAGTTGTTAGACTCTACGAGTCAATTGAAAAATGTATGAAGTAAAAGTAAAAGTGTCAATTAATTCCTGGCTGCCATTTCTCTTACTGACACTATCTAAATTATGTACGTCTAGAAAATGGCAAATGCTCTGTGTGTCCCCAACTTGTCTCCATAGACCAAGTTTCTCATGGTTTGGAACGAAACATCTCTAGTCAGAACAGATAGAGTTCTTATTGCTACAGCCCAAGCAAAACACCTTTTCTCGATACAAGTAACTCCAAGCTTTGTAAACCTAACTCCTTAAACTTTATATCTGACATTAATTGCCTTCAAACTATCCACAGTTTGATATAAGTTTAATTTTCCTGCACTGTTTTTCTTGCGTAAGCAAAATACTTCCATCCTCCTGCAGCAATATAGCTGACCCATTGAAGTTGATTGGATGAGCTGTCGTGAGGCGTTCTACAGGCTTGGCTTTAAAATTTGCTTTCTGGCAATGTATTTCTTTTTGATTAGCAAAATTTTCATCGCACAAAATTAAAGTGTTGTCAGTTTGGAGCCCTATAATCCCAAAACCACAGTTTTCATTGCGCATAGGCTTGGAAATTAATAAGCAAGAGTCGTAAGTTGAATTTTCCATATTCAGTTTTTCTTGAAGATGCTTATGGTATGTGTGGTACTGTCAGACCAGTATCAGAACCCGGTGGAATTAGTATTCCTGAATTAATGTTTCGTGATTCATGTAAATTCCATTCTTCTAACATGATCATAACATTATTGTCAGAATAATATGCCAAGCTGGTACCTGACATAATTTGTGATTGCCTCAGGAAAACTTGGCGTTTTGGGTAATTTTCAGCTAGAAAATGCTTGGCGCCCGTTTAACAGACTTGGTGGACTGGTAATGAGTCGGGTTAGAATTACATCTTGGCTACAACATGTTTAGATTGTGTCTTGTGATGTAAGGAAGCTACTTCTAGATATTATCATCATATGTCAGGTGGTAGATATGTGTAGATATATAAGCTGAGAGGAAGAGGAAGGAACACAGATAATTTTATCCTTGTATTCACTTAAATCGAAAGCTCCTGTGCGAGCTATTCTTCCAGATACCTCTAGTCTCAATCATTACAGCTTCCGAACCAGCTCAAAAGATTCGACAGTGTCCCCTACAAACCTCCAGCTCTCACTGTAGAGTCTGCAGAGCCGAGATTGAGTAACAAAGTCCTCACTTCGACGAGGATTACCAATCGCTTTCGCCGTCTGTATCGTCTTCATCTCTCAACACATTCCCCTATCACCACTATCATGAAGCTAACCACGATCAGATCAGATGATAGGGTCGGAGCCCTACTCATCACCAAACCTTGATCACGGAGGGAAAGCCATCCGATGAGTTTCCGGAGCGTACCCAGCACCCGATACGGAGATGGCGGATAGGATCAAGTCGACCTCGACTGTTACAAAGAAGGGAGATTTACATGAATATGCGCACCTCATGTGGTCCCGGTGTCTAGGTCTCGCCTGGCTGGGGCTGCAGGTTTTTTGAGACTTTTTTCCGCGCACGCAGGCTCCATGTCTACTTTTTTTTTTTTTATTTTTTTTTGGGTAGAAGGTTCCGTGGAAAAGGTGGCCGAATTCCACGGGTAAACACTGAGCTGAATGGCTATTCATCAAGGGGAATATATCAATGATCCATCAATTAACAAAGAAGGGTAGGAACACTGTACAGGATGTGACTTGGGTCAGAGAGGAGCCCAATGTGCTAGATAGTCATAGACTCAAGTAGCACAATAAACACACACACATTCATAACAGGGCTTTTGAGGCATCCACGGCAACCTTTATACCCTGTCTAAAATACCCGCTTTGTGAAAGATGCCTTGCAACTTTTGACTAACCTGGCACTACTATATTATCCGTTCTATTAGATCCGTGCGATAACGTCTGAGCCGCGCAGGATTCTGGCAGCTGATCTCCCGTCTCTTGTCAGATCAATGCCTAGTCTTGCCAGGTTCTAGCCAGGAGACCAGCCTAGATAGTACTTTGACAAAAAATTGGACCCCAACAACAGATTTGCGGAGACAAAATGGCGAGTGCCAGTTCAAGAGAGCGTGCACAAATCAAGAGAGCGTGCACAAATCAAGTAACTAGCAACCAATTTAAATAGATGTCTAAGATCATGAGTTTTACGTGGGAGGGAGCCCGGTCTGATGTTTCTAACGCGAAGGGGAGAGCGCGGATGAGATCTGATGGGAGAAATTAACATGATATTCGGCGAAAATGCGAAATTAAGGTTCGAGCGCAGGGCAGACTAAACAGAACTCTGTAGAAAGGGAATAAAAAGAGAGAGAGAGAGAGATTGTAAAGGTTCTCGGAGACATTCTATTAGACTTTTCTAGACATCGAGGCCTACTATGATCCATGAAAGATTTGGCCTGACGTAGTGTCGCTTCTTCGGCTGGACGAAACTTATTGTACTACACCAGATAGGATATGTGGGCCAGCTCTACTTGGCCCGTATTGGACTCCAAGAACAGGCGGAGCCTGCTACTCGTGCAACAAGGTAATCTCAAATAGGAATAAGCTGCATCGCAAAAATGGAGCCTGTCTACTAGATTTCTCAGACATTCTGTCGAATCCAACAATTGTCTCCCACAATCAGTTCCCAACAGCCTTTGATAGGATCTGAGGAATGGATGGCAAATTTTTATCAAAGCTTTGCGATTCTTGTCAAACGAAGTAGACGAATGTATACAAAATTTAGGTTTATTATGAGTCCATTTGTTAAATCATCTCATAGGATCCTTTCCCATCGAACTACCTGGTGGGGAATGAAGAAGTATATAACTCATAGATTTTTCGCGTGTGCCACCCCATCGTTCATGATGGCTATCCACGAGGCCAACGTCGACGAACTCATTTTGCCGGAACATCTTCAGCGATGATGGACGAACCGGTGCCCACAACCTATCAGCCGTATGATCGACAATTTGATTACAGTATTGAGTGAGGAAAGTGCCAAATCGTTTCTTTTGCATGTCAGGACGGATCATAGTCCCTCTGCGGTCTAGATTACTCGTTAGATAATATCCACCATACCCTTGTTATCTAAGGCATATAACTTTTGGTTCTTACGGTAATCATTTTCTGGATCGTAGCCATATTTTTTTGACTCATCCATCACCCTGTACAGATCTGCGAGCGATTCCACATCCATGCCCGGTAAAGGCGGCGGCAATTCTGTTGTCATGGCTTGAGCCTTTAGCCGGTTTGTCATTACCGACGGATGCAGATATTTCCATGGGATCTGTAAAGCTCCCCAGCCTACAATGGCTCTAACTTAAATTAGTCTTTTCGTCTTGCGTCTAATAGTTCTAATATAGCGACAAGGAAGAGGGGTATTGACGCACCCAGACGCATCTTCCGTAATCTTATAAGTGATTATATCGGGAAAGTTCCACCGAGGAGCGAAATGGGCACAAAGCCAAGGATAAACGTCAGCCGGATTGACTACATTCCGAACGATACCAATCCACTGCTCGTCTTTCTCAAAAGCTGCTAGAAAGACTTGCCAGACCTCTGGCATGTCGTTAGGAGTTGCTTCCCCTAGGCGGAAGCCAGGTTCGAGAGATGGTTGTTTGATGGACATGGGCAACTAATGATGCTTTGCGGATATATTGTGTGGACTTTTGAACACAGATATTGACGTGACTCGGTCGTTCAAATTGATACAATTGATTAAGTAGAACGAGTCAACTGACTATTGCCAGTCTAGAATAACCTCATGCAACCACGAACTAAGTCCTAAACTTCGTTAACTTGCCCCACATTTCTATCACACATTCTAGCAAGTGCCCTATTCCCCGCTACCATCACTATACCCCTACGACTCTTCATGATTGGAGGACAAAGACTGAATGCCTGTCCACGCTGCCTCTTATGAACCAGGGAGTGAAGAAATCTCCCAGTACTAAGTTCAATCAGATTCAGTAATCACAGAGAAGCTTGCCCAAGATACAATGACTCAGTATTCTCAACCAATACAAATTTACTTTTCCAAGCAGATCGAATCCCGTCAAGGCCCACAAGCTTTACAGTTGCGACCTAGCATTTCCCATTCCAATAACCACAACTCTCGTCGACTTAGTCTCTGACTCCAGGTAATCACTAAATATTCGCTCACGATGAAACAAATACCAATGGGAAGAGACAAATTCGTGATGGACACGATCTCAGAAGAGGCTCTATTTCAATTTTTGGATAAGAGTTTATCAAACTGAACATTGTGCGCTACACGACTTAGATTGAAAGTGTAGCCGGCAAAGACGAATTCTTCTCCTTCCAGTGGTGCCGGTGTAATCGCTCAGTATGCTCTGCATATCTGGGATAGCCAAGAAGAATCGCATCCGAATCGAAGACGAAAGCAAACACATCCATATCTCCATGTGACGACCTCTCAACAAAGCCTTTCTTATCATTCTCATCTGAGTCCTCAACCTATTTCTAAACACACATCATCTCGCCTCAACGACCAGTAAAGAAGTTGCTCCAATTTCATACAGGAACATGCCCCGTCAATTTCCAGCCATCGCCCACTATATATTTACGACGCTATTTATACCCGCAAGGAGGAAATCAAGTCGAAAAATACAAAGCCTGGGTCTTGGCTTATGGGGGACTGTTGCTTTAATGGGACAAACAACTTGGGGGAGAATAGGCGCCTGAGCTGTGGAGCGAGAGGGGTAACAGGTCTCTGAATACCATGCTGAGACTGATATTTTCGAGGAGTTTTTAACTTTGGAACGTTTGTGTGCGCCAAGACCAATATCTCGGCAAATTAGCCAGGAGGGCTTCTTTTGTCGATGAGTCAACAGCACTCCCCAGCGCCCTGGACGGCACAAAAGAAGATAGGCTAAGCTACTATACAGCAATCACGCTCTATCAAGACTTTTCTGACATTTTAGCACGACCTTCGGGAAGGAGGCTAGAAAGGCAGAGGGTGAATTTCCCGAGGTACCCACATGTCTGCAGCGCCTAGCTGACCGGCCTCTTCGAGCGCTTCAGAAGGGGCACTATGTCTTCGGATATAGTCCTAATTTCGGTATTAGGAGAGCCCCGCAACCAGTGGTTTTTGCGATTTTTCCCGGCTGCCATACACCCGCAAATGGCCATCGTTTCGTTGGCTGGAGAGGGGAGATAATGAAGGGTTAAGGGCTCCTCTAAGTGTATGATCGAATGAGGACTTTTGAGGGTTGGTACTGTTTGAGGGGAGCTGTATGGGAGGCATAGGAGGGGATATATACTACTAGTATAGGTATCCTTGGCCTGTAGGCAGAGAGGACCTGCATGTCCTACGTATTCATAGACTCAGATAGGACAATAAGATGAACTAATAGTAATGATGTCGAATGATCTAATGACTTAATGACCTTTCATGTATCATCTTAGAAATTATGACTAATTATTTTGATGAGTGTTGAGTTGCCTGTTTAGGAATGGCGTCAGAAGAGAGGGACAACTGCTATATATACGTGTTTCCTTTAGTTAGAAGAGGAGCATCAAGATATATCTTCACCACCAATTGATAATACTGCTATAGAAAGCTTGTGATATAACTACCACCCGAATATTCCAACAAATAATAATAATGATTGAAATTTTACAGGCAAAATTACAGACACCGCAATGGTTGGATGCTGCGGTGGTACATCGTCTTGGCCGGTCTTCCAAGTAGAGTCTGGATAGCTTGGACACATATCCCACTTGAGACAGTAGATCGCTGGTTCAAATCCAGCAAAACACAACCACATTTCTCGCGGCGCTGGTATGCATGGATGACGAAGGCATGCTTGGATAACCAAAGATTTTGAAATTCACTTTGGTGGGCACTCACGGAGGAGGGTCGACTGTTTGTGTAAGCAAGCATACCTCATAGTAGTATTTGCGAATGAAATCCAGAGTATGAGTGTCTCTAACGTCAAATGGGTCATCCTACATGTATATATAGCACTGGTCATGTGTCATAGCCCTATAGCTGAATACACATTAAATGATTTAAAAAAGGAAAGTGTCACAGTCTTCGCTCCAGGGGACACAAGTACCGCCATGGCTGGATAGCGCAATGGTACATTATCGGGGCCGGTCTAGGAAATAAGGTCAAAATAGCTTTGACATATATCCCACACGAGATAAAAGATAGCTGGATGTATGACTTTGGCCTTTTACGAAATCAACACATATAGGAGATCATTGGTTCGGATCCAGTAAACATAACCATATTTTAAGCCGCGCTAGTGTACACGGACGACGAAAGCATGCCTGGATAATCCAAGGTGATGAAGCTCACCCATGGTGAGTACTCACGTAGGAGGGCCAACTTTTTATGCAAGCAAACATATCTCGTAGTGGTATTTGCGAATGAAATCTAGAGTATGAGTATCCTTAAGTCAAAATAGTCATCTTATATTTACACATTGTACCGGTCATGTTTCAATGCTAAAAAGCTGCGTATGCATCAAATGATTATAAAATGAAAGGAAACTGAAGCCTTGGCACGCTAAAAGCTCAATTGGTGAAAAACTCCTTGCCAAAACTCGTAATCCCATGCCCGTCGAGATTATCTCCATGCTCTGTGTCATCTTGTAAACTTGTCCTTATCCCTCTCACGTCCATTCCAAAGAACTATCTTCCAGATTTGTGCGCCACGCTTTGCATCCTCAGTCGGGTGTAGATATCAGCGTTGGCGTCTATTTGGCGACGAGCCGAGGTCAGAGAAAGTCGACAAGAGGTGTGGTCGTTGGAATGAGGATGTACTAGGTCGTAATTGTAGACTTAATGAGGCTTAGGTAGGGGTTAAACTCGTTGGGAGAGAAAATTGACGTGGTGGTGTATTTTGATTAATTTTCTCATGGGTTAACTTTTTTGGTATTGCAAAATTTGACTGAACTAGTCTCCGGGAGAATATTTCACCCCAGGCTCGTAGAGAAAACCGCGCACAGGTGTTAGTCTTTGTCCGCCGAAAGCAGCGATTGGTGGTATTTGATTTATCACTAATCTATTTCCTTTCCCTTGGCCATGCGTAATCACGATGTATGAAAATGGTAGAGAGGCAGCCTTGGGAATGTAAGATAGAATGGCTATGGATGGAGAAATAGGAGTATCTATAGCGAGCTCTATAAACATGGGGTGTAGGTGTTTGCTGAGTAATGCCAAGACTAGATTGGGATTCATGTCACGTGTAGGTGTTTAATGTTCAAGCATCTACGCTGCCTTGCTCATTGCATATTTGGAACCCTAAGGGCGTCATTTGCGTGCTACATTCCCTAGATTTAACCGAATACTAAGTGATCTGAGCCTTTATAACACTCCGTAAAAAGTGTGGTCTGAGTCTGAAAGGAGCCCAATCTATTGAATAACCCATGATTTAAGCAGTACAAAAAGACTATTCCAAGTTAGTCTCCAAGGGCAAATCGACGACCTTTATCTCCCATCCCACATTCCGTCCGCCTGTTCTAACTTAAAGCTTTATAGTCTTATTAGAGCAATGATTCTAAATAATTCAAACCCCGAGAATTTTATCTCACAGCTTATTTTTCTCCTTACGAGTATTGGTAGCATCGTAATTTGATGGTGCGAGGCTGATGATGGTTGATGGGGCAAGTTCTCGGTTGTAACTAGTGCAGCAACTTGATCAGTTGATTAGAGCAGATGAAATAAGGTAGATTTAAGTTAGAACACTCGTATGACAATGTTAGGAACGACATCGACGATAGATAGGCTTATGTACACTTTAGACTTCGAATCGTATGCGATATTTTTCACAGTTCCAGATGTTAAGGGTAAACAAGGATTTACATTAGCATCGCTGGAAAATGAAAAATTCGTATTTACTGACGACATAGGCTTTACTTGAGTAGGTAAGACAGGCAAGATGGAGCAGACGGTTGATTGGAGTTACATCACCTCTGACTATCATATTTGTGTGCTCATTTGTGTCTGGGAGCCGTGCGCAGATAATGCCTCAGGCAGGAAGCCTGCGTCTGAACACTGATCAGTCAATCGCCCAACCGCAACGTCATCTAAAGCTATCATAGTCCAGATGACTACAATTTCAGACATTCTTCCGCCGTCTCGACAAACATGGGTGTGGGCTACATTCCTATTTCAGTTCTTCCCTGTGGTATGTTGCGGTCTAATGGGGCCAAATCCTTCTCATGGAAGCATTTGGATTGACAGCGCGCCATCTTAGGTCACTGTGATTCAATGGTGTGTGAATTATTATCCAGCTGGAAAAACATCCATCCATAGTCGCTGGAATCTGCCCGGAAAGTTGGCGTGGGCGACAATGGAGGTACCTGGCTTCCTGATGCTACTCTATTGCCTGCATACGCTCCCGCCTCTTCTCGATCTTACGGAATTACCGATCGAGAACCAGATTATGGCGTCCCTGTTTGTACATACCTACCCTTTCTTTGCAATTCTCTTATCACAAAGAATAAACGAAGCTGATGGGTGAGTTCTTGAGGTTATCCACTATATCTATCGTGCCCTTCTTGCGCCCTTCTTAAATCCATCCATGTCGCCTATTCATCTTCTCATCTGGGCCTCGGCCGTCGCATTTCAGCTTACGAATGGTCTTGTTATTGGCGGCTATTTGGCCGGATATGGACCTACAACATCGGCTGCCTGGCTTGCTACAGTTTCACCTAGCTGGCTCCGTATTCGTATGTTTGTCGGATTCCTCCTGTGGCTACTTGGATTTGTTGGGAATATTATTCACGATGAAATACTTCGTAACATTCGCCGATCTGCTCGGTATCAAAAGGGCCAAGGGATCGCCTACCGCAAAATTAAGCAGCGTATATTGCGACATCCATCAGCCAAGGTGAGTAAGGTTTACGAGCTACCGCGGAAAGGCCTCTTCTCTTGGATACTATTTCCGCACTACTTCTGCGAATGGGCTGAGTGGGCCGGATGGTGGCTTATGGGAGGGACCATGTTTGTGCCGGGTCGGATCTTTTTGTTCAACGAGATCGCTACCATGACACCCCGGGCTCTGCAAGGGAGAGAATGGTATATCAAAAAGTTTGGCGAACAGCGATTGAAAGGTGTCAAAGCTATCATCCCTGGTATTCTCTAAGCTTGTGGTTATTCCTAATAGACGGCTAGTCGTCAAATCAATGACTAGTCATTATCTTGAAAGAAGTATCATCTTTGGGAGTTCAGAGTATGAAGCGTTCATATTGCATTTTATCTCCAGCTATCTACTTAGTTGAGGGAAAAAATCCCAAAATAATGGATGGGCTTGGCAGCACGATGTCATGAATGGAGCAACTGAGATGGGTGTAAGGGTATACAATTATGTAATAGTATAATGGTAGACACTGTGTGTCAATAAAAAATGTAAAGTAAAATTGTATTGATGAAATCTCTGCTTCTCAACTCCTCTCCGGACTTGATGCTATTTACCCATCTGAAACTATTTCCGGGAGAGAATATCTTCTTCTCATTTCCCAGAATTACATTTAAAAAATATTACATGTGTTGGTGATCAAAATATCTCAAGTTGGAGCTTCAGACATCCTGAACATCTTGAACACCCTGATCACTACGTCCCTGGTGAGATATCAAAGCTCGAGTAAGTTAATCCGAGAAGATGTGTTATCCCAATATCCAGTGATTCTCATTACTATACTCAGTAGGTCCCAAGCTATCAGATGTTTGAAATATAATTATTTGTCAAGAGGTTAAAAATGTGATCCAAAGTATGGTCCTCGAAATACAGAACATCCAGATTGGCCACCAAATTTTTCGGCTAAATTGAATTAGCTGAAATAGTTTCCATTTATTATACATGGTTCATCTATGCGTCGGCTCATTATCATTGTCATTTTTTCATTTAAATGTCTTTTCTTCGTAGCACTATGTAGGACATGTAGGACATGCAGGTCTTCTTTGCCTACAGGCCAAGGATACTTATCTAGTGGTATATCCCTTCCTATGCCTCCCATAAAGCTCCCCTAAAACAGTACATATCTCACAAGGCCTCTCTTATGCATACACTTACAAGAGCCTTTTGCCGCTGTAAATCTCCTTTCTCTAGCCACCTAAATGATGGTCAGTTGCGGTTGTATGTTAGCCCGGAAAATTTCGGAAAACCATTGATAGTGAGACGGCTAAGGCTTTTTACCGCTCATACTTGTGCTGTTAGCGCGTAATTCCGCTTTTTTTAGATTTAATCACAACATAAGGAAGGCAAGAGTGAAGCTGTGAAGACTACCCAGAAAGACGTGGATAGGATAGTCTGTTGGAAATCTAGACTTAGTATATCTGAAGGTATAGATTTCTAAGTATGATCATCAAGATCAATTCAATTGATCCGATTGCATATGGTTAAGCTTAGCTGGGCGACATGAGGTTCAGTGTTATCTGAAATGAAGTGGCTAGGAAATGCTACCTTGCGATAATTAAGTGGCTGGTTATTGCTAGATCACTTGGAGTTTGGGATCACTAAAGCCTCGGGGATCTGTATTTAAGGATAGACTGACTTGTATATTTTAAACTAAGTTAACGGAGTATAATATATTATTAATTCATATTGAGAAGAGAGTTCGATATCATATACAACTATCAATAAAATATTGTCCGAAATTTTACACTTGTTCTTCGAGATATTTCCTCCTAGAAATCCTTGACAATTTCTAACATAGTCCAACTAGCTGCGACACACATGATTAGATTCGACCATTCAAAGTCCGAGCTACTGGTCATCGGGGGAGGACTGAAGAAGAAACTTGACTCATCCAGTCTCTCCGTTCAAGTTGGTGAACAGCTTATTACACCATCTCCATACATTCGATGGCTGGGAGTATGGCTGGACGCACAACTGACTTTTAAACAGCATGTACAGGAATGATGTAGTAGGGCACAACGGTTATCAAATTTCTTACGTAGCGTCAACAAGGTCTAGCGAAGCGCGGCTCCCGGACTATTAATATGCGCTGTATACGCATCTGTAGTCAGTACTGCTTTCTATGGCGCTGAAGCTTGGTGGCCTGGACTCACCCGTATCACGACGATACGAGATAAAAATGTAAGTACGGGTGTTGGATGGAACCTCAAACTGCTGGATAGGACTATTTTAACGCCAGGACCAAATACAACAAAGCAGAAAAGGTGACGCAGATCAAGTCTTGGCTTATAAGTCCCCCCGCAGGAGCGCTCTATGTCTACACTGATGGCTCATCTACCGGTCCAGCGTACTCAGCCTACCGCTACGCCATATACCGAGATGAAGATCTCGTAGCAAGCGGTGGAAATTTACTCCGTGGAGCTGAAGTCTTTGGCGCTGAAATTACCAGAGAAGTTCGAGGCATAGAGGTAGGATTAGAGATCGGAGGTATCACAAACGTAAAGGTGCTCCTAGACAATGAAGAGGCTACTGAAGCTCTTGTGAGAGGCAGAGCTAATCCCTCACAGTCTGAGGTAAGAAAATTTATGGAAATATGCAAGGCTCAACTCGATATAGAGGTCCGCTGGGTTCTAGGAAAATGTGGTATAGTAGGAAACGAAAAGGCTGATGCGATGGCTGAGGCAGTCCTTGCATCAAAAACCAGAGAAGAAAATTTATTGCGACCAGAATGCATTAGGGAGGAATTTCACGAGGTCCTGACATTTGCAGCGCTCAAACGCCATGTCACAATCCGCATACAAAAACTTGTAGAAGATTGGTGGGAAAAGAATAAAATGAATAGGTACGAAGATCTGGACCTAATGATGCGAAGAAAACGCCCTCCGGGGTTAGCTTTACCTCGATGGGCATATCACCGACTAATCGCAGCAAGGACTGGGTTCGGTGACTTCGCTAGTTATCACAGGATGTTTCAAAACTAGAGCGAAAAAATGCTATGCAAATGCGGACGTGAGAAACCGCCATGACATTTTACAGAATGTCGCCCGGTAATTCAGAAATGGAAGACGGAAACGAAGAAACCACCACCTATGATAAGGGGCACAAAAGGTCAAGAAGGATGGCAGACATTCTGGCGGTATTTAGCTGTAACAAAATGTTACAGCAAGATTGTATTATAAACAGGGAGTGTAAAGATCATCTGTAGTGCTTCTTGGGCCTGGTTAATGTGTGACACGAGGATTAACGTGTATTGTAGGGCAATAGCACTTTCGAAATTCTCATTTCATTTGTTTTATGTTCTTTGCGTTTCTGGTCCCTATGGACCAATAATGTGGGTAGCGAAGAGTCTTATTTATTTCTGGGCTACCCGTGCCACGCCCTCTTAGTGCTGGGGTAGTACCCGTTCACGGTAAAAATATTATCATCATAAGGAAGGCAAGATTAAACACCTGTAAACTGTATCCTCTACGAATCTGTGAGTGTAATATCATCCCAGAGCCAAGTTGAGTCAAGTTTGGCAATACCAAAGAAGTTGGCCCATGAGGAAATGATTCAAAATACTCCGTCATGTCAATCTTTCACTCCTGGCAAACAGATGGGAGCCCGAAAATTGAGATCTACGATCTCCGTAGTGGCACTTATTACAGAACAAGTACACTTAACATGGGGAAAGAACAAAAGGAGAGTTGCTTCTCTCCTCAGCCTAGGTATATCCGGAGCTTTCGATGATGTCTCTCACGAGAGACTCATCCACAACATGAGGGCTAAAGGTATACCAAGATGAACGATGCTTTTCATTGAATCGTTTCTAGAGGATAGAACTACGCCGATGAACCTTGGTTCGTATAAAGGAGAACAATTCCCTACCAGTACTGGGATTCCTCAAGGCTCTTCTCTCTCGCCGATTCTCTTCCTATTCTTTGTTAGCACGCTTCTTCCAGAACTTCAGTCGCCGTCTTCGACGGCTCTAGGGATTGTGGATGATACTAACATACTGACTTGGTCTAACTCTACAGAAGAAAATTGTCGAAATCTCGAAAGGCTCCATGGGATTTGCGAAAAGTGGACTGACCGGCATGGTGTAAAATTTGCTCCGGAGAAGTACCAGCTAATGCACTTCTCAAGAGCTAGAAAGAGGCACAACACGCAGGCCACAGTCCAAATCCAAGGCTGTCTCGCTCAGCCACAACCTTCCCTGTCATGGCGAGACATTCTGGAACCAGAGTCTAAGCAGAATGCCTGAGGATAAAATTCACGGAACAGGTTTGTTGGCTCACCCTCAACACTTGCACTTATATGGTGAGACTAGATAATGCGCCAACTGGAATTGATATGGTTGAGGTCACAGTTTGAGTCATGATGGGAAATTACAACAGTCTTAGTTGAATTACGTTAGATAGTTATTTGTACTTAAGGAAGCTGGAGCTACAACAAAGTAGTTCTCCAGCTTCACAATCTTATAATATTATTACAGTATTCCTCTCGCAAACCTGCTTCCTTCTAGCCATAATACTTCGTCGACTTCCCACCTCTCTAGTATTCACCACTTGACCTTTTCATACTCTCGGCAAACGGCGATCTCGATCTACCCTATAGCACGCCGTAACATTCCCTCCGTGTCCTAGGCATCCACCTCGACCCGAAGCTCAACTGGGGTGCTCATGTCAAAAGCATACAGCTTAAAGTCGAACCACAAATACGAGCCTTAGGTAGATTGGCACAATCAACTTGGGGTGCAATGTTCCACAAGGCGAAACTTGTGTACAATGTAGTGGTGAGACCAGCTGTTACATACGGAGCCCCCATTTAGGCAGGGCCCGGAATAGCCGGCAAAATCCCGAAAGAGTGATTAAGCTGCTTCGAAGTATCCAAAGAAGGTGCCTATAGATCGTCACGGGAGCGTATAGTTCGACAAGTAGCAAGGTACTTGAGCACGAGACCTCTACCTTGCCAATAGAAATCTTTCTGAAACAAAGGAGGGTCCAACATGCAGTACTATCAAAAAGCTTACCTGCTCATGATACAATATTGTCAGCATGCAGGAAGATTAAGCAACCCCGAGCTAGAAGGCAAGACGCACGAGTTATCACGAGGACCTTGGATATTGTGGAGTGGGGTCAAACATGTGGGAATGTAGAGACGAAAGAACAACAGAAAGCGGCTGGAAAGGTCGCGGCCTTTAAAGTATGGGAACGATCCTGGACAAAACAAACAGCAAAACAGCCTAC